TATGTCAATAGCTCAAAAACCTTTAAATTATATATAGTGAAGGATAAGACAACTGACTTATTTCCTCAGCTCCTTTCTCCGACCTTCCTCCTCTCATCCCAATAACCATTAATGCCACTATTCGAAAATAAAGGTTACCTGGAAGTGAAAAAAGAATGCCCTAAAATTAAAAAAAAGTTCACCTGTCGATGAAGCGAAATCAACCGTGAAAGCAACCTCAACAGTCCATCCGTGAAGATTGGGAATGGACAAAGTGAAACTTGCGGATCGGTCTTTTATATTTTGACTGCGACTGCTAGATTAATATGGACAGGGAGGAGTGAAGACTTTATTTCCGCTATTAGGAATGCTTATTTATTTTTAAAAAATTTGACAAAATATTGATTACGCTGAATATAGTAATAGTTAAAGAAAGAAAGGATTTAATTTTAATTTGAATCACTGAATCATCATTGAATTACATCGCTCAATTTCATCCTTTGCGTATTATTTTACGAAGAAACTTAGCGATTCAGACGTCCTCTGGAAGTTTCACATAATTCAAATCGCTGGTAATTCATTGGATGTTTCGAATGTTCTCGTGAAGTTTCATTAAAAGATGTGAACGAACACTGGCAAGTAACTCGATCTGAAATATTTGTAAAACAATAGTTCAGTTGATTATTCGAAGTGATTCCAGTGATCCTGTAAAATGCATAGTAGTAAAGATGTGGTTGTCGGAGTCCTCCATGTTCAGGGCACTCAGTGGTCAGCGAATATAACGGAATGATTAGCCAACAATGTGGCGAAGTGAATTTTGGAAAGCGATACTGTTTTAAGACGTAATCGAGGGATAAAATGAAAACGAAAACAGTTTAATTTAATGTTTGCTCATGGAATTCAATAGTGAGAAAAAGTGCAAGCGTACATGTCTAATTCTTAGTTATCTTCATAATTTGGCAGAATTCATTTTACTCAAAGGATTTTCAATTTCCATCTCTAATATACTGTATATGACATTATAAGTGAGAGAAGGAATATAAATTTCCTTTGAAAAGGTGCGCCATTAGCGGAATTAATGTGGATCAGAAGATTTTGTTGAACGGACTATAAACTCGCGCACTTCACATTGAAATAATCAAATGATTTATGACTGAAATAATTTTTTTGGCGAAGTAACTAAAAATTTTTAGTAAACTTCGATTAATAGAATCTGAGTTGTGAATTAAATTTTCAAAAGCCATATTTCCTTGTGATATTTCCGTTGAGGCTGTAATTGTATGAGGATTAGCTTTACTGTTCTCTTAGGACAAGAAAAATTGTGGCAATGGTGCACAACAACTAAAATAAAAAAACTTTGTTTTTAATAGTAAAATTCAATGTTTTATAACGATGGTCATTAGGGGGTGCACTTTGCTGCACATGCCCTCTTAATCCAATCCATAAGTAGATCAGAACTTCAAGTTATTGACTTTCGAAGTGGTTTCACCTGAAATACACGGAGAAAGACTTCTTACCTATAGATCCCTATGGATATTTGAATGAAGAACCAAGAAGGACTGAGATAAATTGTGATCCTTTTCACGCTACTCAGAGATGTTCGTTTAATAAGCCATAATATTCATCATTTCTAAGAAGGACAAGTATTTATATCTTGTTGAATTACGCTTATATCCGTTGAGTCTGAAGAATGAAAAGCCAACAACATGCAGATTATTTGGCCCATTTTTCTCCTTTGACCTATCTCTCTTACTTGACCTTAAGGAAAATTCAAATTTTCATAAAGATTTATAGATTCCAATGGAATGCACTAACAAAAGAAGTATATGTAAGATTTGAGCAATGAAAGAATTAGTTTTAGTAATGTTAGACAAGAATTACTTCGATCAGAAATCACTACTTCTTGAAAGGAACGAATCACAAATGTTATGTGTATCGTAACATTGTAGTATGTCTTCGCCTATTATTAATCATTCTCGATTGCATACTTCTGACTTGGGAAGGATGCATTTCTTCTGACTTGGAATGGAGCAATATTTCTAGGAATGAGTCAGTTTTGCAGAAAGTTTTTTCTCCTATTGAATTTCTTCTTCTGTTATATTTCAATTAATATCAAAGAGCGTTTGATTTTGGTGCACACTTACTAACATTGTTTTGCTGTGAAAGACGATGGTGAGTTGCATTATTTGGAGTGGTGTAGTTGTTACTCTTTAGAATTTTGCTTGTAGTAGTATATCAGTATGTTTCGGTTATTTACACAGCTCACCTTTCTTTTGGTGACAAGTTTAACTTAATTCTGACTTTATGGAAAACGCAATTTAAGTTTAACACAGTCTTGCTTGAAGTTTATGGGGCGCGAAAGTAGTAAAGGTTAGTATAATAGGAAGTGTCAAAGTAAAATGTGACAAAAGGCTAAGAAACATCAAATCATAGTATCATTTTTTGATGGTTGATGTCATTGGGAAATGACCCATATCATTAAAAGGCTTAGCAAGAATGACGAAATATCTGAACCATCCAAACATTTGGTACAGTTTATCTTCTACTGCTGCTGAAGCAAAAAACAATTCCTGAAAAAGTTTCACAATACTGCTAGCTTAGCGCAATCCTTTAATATACCTTGCAGACTTTCTCACGGTTAGATTTTTACACTTTTTGGAATTACCAATCCTTCTTGGGTTGGAATAAATCATCAGGCAATTTTAATGATTACAAAAGGAAAAAGAAATACCATTGGTTAAAGCTGCATTTGTGGTTATCTAACGAAAATTAAGCCGAGGGAAAAGCTTAACAAAATTGACGAAATCATGAAATGAGTTTGTCTTTTCATCTTCCAATATCTAAAGCGTTGTGTTTTCCGCATCAAGCCATTTTGTAATGATAAATATATTTTGCGTTACTTCAAGGTAACAATGCTACGTATGTTTTGCTGCGTATTGATGTCCACTTGTATGCTTTTGACAACTACCGCTTTACCAATTGCAGTTGCCAATAAAAAAGATTCGAAATTCTGCTGTAAATGTACAGTGGAAGGAGAAGAGAGCACAGGTAAAACTGTCACCAATTTAGAAAATGACCTCATCAACACAAAAATAATGAAAAAGATCCATCGGAAAGCGGATCCTGATTTTCCTGAACCAAAATAGTTTTGACTATAATTTCAATATTTTGAACTTCCAAATAATGTACTCAAACTGTAATGATATAACAGCTTACTTATGAACCTTTTTAAAAATCTATTTATTTAATCCAATTAAAAATAAACGTGAAATATGTTCCTTTAGGTTGTAGCGGAGGATTAACTGCTACAGTGATTAGCGGTATTGATGGAGGATTTATCAACACTGTTGGAGGAGGACTTATCAACGCGTATGTTGGAGGATCAAGTATTGGTTTAGTACCATCGATACAAATCCGTGTACCTCAGGTGCAGTTCCCTGCACCAATCAACATTGTACCACTACAACAATATCTGCTGTACAACCTTCAACCGCTGCAAGCGTTTTTCAACATACAACAACCAAAAGTTAGCACGCAATGTTGCATGGTAAGTGCTGTAGTTTCTTCAACTTACCCATCACCAACTTCAATTTGATCACTTTTTCCTTTCCATTCTTTTACTTCTTATCTTTGCAAGTTGTATTATTCATCATTATTATAGATCGTGCCATTAAAAATCAAAAATTGCTATTGACAACCTTTTTGGAATTACTGAATTTACAGCCATGTCCGGACGGGAATGGTATCTGTTGCTGCAAACCTGGTGAAACCACAACAACACCTCGTGATTCGCACACCTTGCACTCACCATATCATCCAGCTGGAGCACAAACACCACTTAAAAGCAACTCATTATTTATTAACATAATAATACTGCTAGTTTTCGACCACATTTTATGAAAATCTGATGACAGTTGAGAAATTCTTTATATGAAAGCACAAGTACAGATATATCGTTTTTTATCAGAGAAAGTCTATTTTCTCATCTTCGCTACTCTCCGGTCTTTAAAAAGTTTGCATATGTTTATGCTTTATCACATTTTTCTCACCACACATTTATGCCAAATTCTCCATTTTGGCCTTTATAATCGGCCGTTTGTACTTTCAACGCTTAAGCGAAATTCCATTAGGCTAATTTGTTTCACACAGCCAGCTGCGTAAAGACATTTGGAGCCTAGTTACTTGATGCACTGTCTACAAGCATATGTAATAGGGAAATAAAATTTAATTTAAGATTAGGCAAGTATGTTTGTGAAATTTTATGTGGAAGAATGAAACAAAAAGCTACAGAAATCATAATGTCGCAAATGAGAAGTAAAATTATTATTGAAAATTAATTAACTTAAGTGTAAGAAGACAGTACTTCAGGACAAACCAAAGGGATCGCTGATTTCAGCACATTTAATTTCTCTATTTCGTGTCTCATTCATACAAGTGCATTGCCGCCATTTATTATATTTTTGATGTTTTTTAATTTTTATAATGCAATTCGATTAAATTAAGCAAGTATGCTGATATTTCGCTAGCCTAAAACATCTTGCATGCTTAAAGGATTTGTTAAAAATACGTTGATCTCTCGAGAATCGTGCAATTTCCTGCATAAAATTTGAGTTCGATACAACTTTTCTTCTTTACTGCAATGAAATCCTTGCAGTGATTTGCAATCAAAACACTTCATTTCAATCCATTTTGATAGTATTTAATCAGTTAGTTTCTTTTTTTTTGATAATTGCATAATAATGTGATCATCTTTACAGGTAACCAATAGATTTATTCATTCATATTATTTAGTTTCTTTTACAAATTTATCTTTATCAAATGTTGTTATTTTTAAATATTTGATTGATAATTTTTTAAGACAAACATTCCCATCATATCTTATCTTTTCATGCATTAATTTCTAACTCGTGAAATAAATCGCATGTCGGGTTGATGATTTTGCAGGCTTTTGAAAACATCTGCTGCTAATATGGCACACTTGGACTATGACTTAAAAAATGATTTGATTTTCGATGTGTCCACCTGAAATATTAATCTTTTTTCACGAGTAGTACCTGATCTGATGAATCTTTCCCTATTTTCAAGATTGGAGACAAACTCCCTCTTCCACCAAAGAATTTCAGATGTTATGTGATTTGTTTCCCGATCTGAAATACTTTTTGCATCTTAGAAGTTACGATTACATTTCTAATGAGGCATATTAGCTGAAGTGATAATGACCGAAGTGTTTGACCGCTGCTCAATTTACATTCTACTGATTGCGGGTGCAGCCATTTTTTCGCAAACATTTCAAGTGCTTGATTCAACCGGATCTATTTATCCCATACATCATAATTTCACTAGATTTTTGTTAATTCAGCTCAATTTAAGGACAAAAGATACAGAAATAACCGTTTCCCAAGTACTTGCTTGAAATAAATGAACTTTGACCCACAGAACTTTGCGGACTCTCGATCCGATCTGAACATTTCAAGGACAGGCCAGGGATAAAAACACGCTAGAAAATCATTTCCCTTTACACCCACACTTACTAGTTAAAGCTGTTCTTCCGATGAATTACTTTATGATTAAATTCGCCTAAGCCATAAGGAAACATTTTCCTTCTCATCTGACCTCTGTTCACTCATTTTCATCGTATTTGTATTGAAAGGAATAAAACTGTTTCATAATTAAGTTAAATTACCCTGTAGAATTCCCCTCGCATCCTAAATTAACAGATGTATGTTTTCGGCTTACGATAAACAGGAATGAGGAGATAAGCATTACCTTACTTCCGGAAATTAGCAACCATTTTGTAGAATTTTTTCAGCATACTTTTATAAGATCTCTGTTTGATAAATATTACTACGAACAATTATGAGGTCAGTAGTTGCAAGAAAATCAATAAGGATATCGGCTACAAATCAGTTCGATACAATTCTCACCTGCCGCATTTCTTATCTGAACCATTTGCGTGGCATCAGATTGCGTGATTAGGAATTCCCTAATTGGATTTCCCCTTCTACATCGGTATTATGCCATTAGTTAACGTAGTGTCAATTTTCAATTCCATAATGATTATCTTTTCAGTGGACAGTATAACCACATGGTTATTTAAATGAATCAAAATTTTAAAGATATTCAACTACAGATGATCTTGTTATCAATTACCGAATGATGAAACAAGAACAATTTAATTTGCATATGCGTTAGCAGTACCTGTATTTTCTTTCTATCAATTGTATTTTTTTCCAGAACTGAAAAATGTAGTTCAAATAGCACAAAGTCAAATAACACATGAAAGTGTAGCTTCAGTATTTAAAACATTTTAAATCTTCATGAAATCTTAATCTAAAAAAAAAAGTGTTGAAAGTGTAAAATAGATCAGAGCTGATTGATCTTATCTATATTTGTGCTATTTCTATGTGGAAACTTGCTACATCTCTACAATCTCAAATTTCCGGAGTTTTTGAAAAATGAGTTTAAAATTTCCTACGTTCGAAAAATTGTCGCATATTTTTATCGCGATTTCCCACATAACAAAACATTCTACTCGATGGTACTGACAATGCATTACAAAGAATATCAAAAATACACCAACCTTTATGTAAAAAAAAATCAAACCTTTATGTAAATCCAACAGAATATCCCAACTTTTATGCAAATCCAATAATAAAATAATTTAACTTCTTTGCAGTAAGCTATGAAAGCTATTTTCAAAGCATTCCTGTAGCTTTAACTGTTCCTTTGATATTTATCTAGTTGAGATTTTTCCATTAAAAATATTCATTTTGTTTATGGTTAGAATTTTGACTGCAAAAATTAATGCAACATTAATTGATGTCATTAAATTATCCTTACATTACAATATTTGGATATTCCAAAAGAAACTGAAAAAGTGAAGTTGGCACTTTTAAAAAGTACGGCATTTTTGGGAGAAAAATAATTTCTATAGCTTAAATTTGTGATTTTTAAGAGATGTAGAATAATAAATGAACTTCAACTATTATGTTCATATAGATTTTTTTTTCTGTCTGGATGCAAGAAATACTCTGCTCGGAGTTTCCAATATATTTGATGGACTGCGCTTTCTTCCCTAAAATACTGCCGAATTTTTCACAACTATGTTTACTGCTCCGTGTGACTAATTGGTTGTATTCCAAAAACTTTGCTAGAAGAGAGATTTAATAAACCACAATATATCGGATATGCGCGCAGTGCCTGCACCTCACCACAGATATCAACCTGCACGATACATTCATCAGTCTGCAAATCAAGTTCTATTCTGATAAGTGTATTGTACAATGCTATTGGGAAAAAGCGCAGTACTGTAAGTTAAAATGATGCTAATTTAGATAGAATTTTACTCTTGTTGAATTGACACTTCTTATGACACTTGTTAAATTGATGTGACTCATTTTCATTGTACTTTGAGTTTGGAAATTGTGTATGGAATTTCTTACGGTTTTATTTGAGGCTTTCTGGGGTTTGTTTTACACGGGTTTTAATGTAGTTTTATTTGTCTATTCCTTAATGGGTTTAATATAACTGTTTTCCAAGCATTTCTGCCAGGTGCAATTGTCACTATGTCTTTCACGTTTGGGTATTCTTCACTCTTGTACTAAGGAAGGTTTGAATCATTTGAAGAATTCTGTCAGGGTTGTTTGTGGTACATTTTGATTATGAGTTGTTATACATCTCTGTAAGTTCACTTCTGTTCATTATATTTATCAGTGAAATTTTATCTTTGTTGATAGTACTTTTGCAATTTATTCAATTATAATCTTGTTATGTTCTTATCTTGGATTACTTGTGAAGCTTTTTTGTGATTATTGTGCTATTATTACGTTTTTTGAATCATCATTTCGATTGAACTTCGAGAGTAGTTTGAATTTGAAAAGATCCACATCTACGAGAATATCTATGAGATAAAACATTAAATAAATTTTAACAGCTAAAATTACATGTGGTGTAATTAGAATTTCCGCCTTTAAATCAAAAGCTTTTTCCGATTCTGTATCTGTGACTCCATAAATAATTATTTCCTTTCCATCAATTTAAAGCATCCTCTCGTTTTAATACTTTTCATCAATTTGTGTCACATTTCGTTTCGTAGCTAGATTTCCTCATTTTTACTAAAATGGGACCAGATTTTTTTGGAAGGTCACACAGAAATTTTCGAGAAAACTCTGATTTTTTCTAAAAACTCTGATTTCAGCGCAGATGCGTGATATTGTCATTTCCCTTTCGCAATCGAATACGATTAAAAATTGAACTTCATTTAACTATACACACCGCTAACCGGTAATTATACAAGTTTCCCGGGTAAATAGTGAGGCATCGAAACTGGTTGCAGACGACAATATCTATTAAAGGAAGTAAATTGTCATTACGATTATAGCTACATAGATGCTGTTTATACAACTATCATTTACCTTTAGTTATCGGAAATTGAGATGTCTTTATGGTTTCCTGTTTTTTTTTTTTTTCGTTCAAATCGTTGCGCGCATCACATACCGAGTAACGTGAAATTCTTCAATCATGTAAATCACTGAATACAAATTATCACCGCTATTAACTGATATTGCTAACTTTCATTACTTTTTCAATAATCTCTAGTTTCATATTTACCAAAAAATTTATGTCACATGTGCATTTGTTAGAAGAATTTATGTGGTTCAGCAGTAGCGTGATATCAAAGTAATAATGTGATACCTTTTTCTTCAAATATTTTCATTAAAGATTGCATTGACCGGCTTTTTCAGGATTTTTTAAATTTAATATTGCAAGAAAATCCGTTCTACTGCATGATTCTCAGAATCGTGCTTATCGCGTCAACTGTTGTGATGGCTAATTCATTGCAATGTATATACGGTGGCCACGGTGCCATAAATGAGAAGAGTGGTACCATAAGAGATATTAACGTTACCTGTCAATCGCAAACTAAATTCTGTTTGAAATTAGAATCTGATGCAACTGTAAATGGAGGTAACTTCTAAAGCTTCACTGTACCACTTTAACGAAGAATCAGAATCACGTTTTGAATTTTCATTGTCATCACACAAAGCTAACCAATTAACTACATCACAATATCCGCAACGGCTGCTATTTTTGTTTCATCATTCATTTAATAAAAAGTCACTTAAGCACCAGTGAACCCTAGAATTGCCATCACATTATAGAACATGTGAAAGGATTTGCTCGTGGATGCGATCAGGAAATGCCGGGTTCATCGAAACATTTTTGCAAGGTCACTTTAATGTTTTTAAATTGTGTAGATTTGATTTTGCAATAAAATTTCAACGAAGTTCACGCATTGTTGATTTTAGTAAAAATCAAGGATCCCACATTTCCCACAAGTTCTATTGCTATCTTCCTGATTACGAGGCTACCCGTTTTTTTAGGGTGAGGGCTGTGTGAATAAACACGATAGCAGAGGTACCACAGAAGTATGCTGCTGTGCCAATGACTACTGCAATGATGGAACTGACAGGAATTTCATGTTTTCAATCTATTCGACCATTATTTTTGCCCTTTCTCTCTTTTCATAAGTATTCTTTCGATTTACTACCTTTGATCTTTTGAGGTCCATCCCGCAGTAGTCCTTTAAATACGCGGAAACCTTATTGCTCCAATTCTAAATAAATGTTTCACTTTCCACATGTCCTGAAGGATCGTTCCGTTCATTTAACATCCAATATATGCTCTTAATAGCATAAGTAAACAGTAATTAAAATGAGAAGTTATGGCAGGTGAACAAAAAAAAAAAACAAGTACTACTATGTCCCTTGCTATCCAAATGCGAAATTTTTATGCCCCTCATCTGTATTTTGTTCCCTTTTCTACCTCATATATTTTGGCATCCATTTATATTATTCGCCATTTCATCACATTTCAGGTACAGTTCCATCCAGATTTATTAAATTATCGTGGTTTCTTACCTGTTTCAAGTGCCGTCAGTTCGATAATATTCAAATTTTCCACATGCTGTTGTATATGATATTTTGTAAAATTTCATTGTAGGCTTTTTCCTTTCCACGTTTTAAATTTGGGAAAGGCGTTTTTGAGAAACTATTTGAAAAAACGTTTTAAATGTTCTAAATCTTTCAAAATAAACATTTTCTAGTGGTAACTTATGACATTGTCAGATCTATGATATTTTCTCTTAAATTCTTACTGCTTAATTATATCATCAGTTTGCAAACTCCTTCTTTATTTCCTATCTTAAAAATATTCTCAGATATTTTAATAGAAACAGTATTTTTAGCACTATTTTTATGAACGAATTACAAAGTATTAATCGATCTATCAAAAATTTACTGACACAAATCGCTGGAGTTTTTGCATTAATCAATGTAACGAGCAGAATTTTGAAATTAAGGTCCCCTTGACCCTTAACCCTTCACGTTCAAAAATTTTAGTTTCGTTCTTGAGGATGTGCCAGTCCAGTAATGCCAGCTGTTAAATTAATGTTGCAAAAACGGAAACAAATACTTGGATATGTTGTGCGATGTTTTGTTTTGCTTGAATAAGTGAGAAAGAGCAGTAAAGCATAATGAGATATGAATTTGTACAAATCTCTTTTCAGCATTTTTTTATTTTATTTTAGAAATGTTATCTGAAACAGTTAGTACTTTTCAAAAGTTCTAATCATCCCGTTTTTATATCTATATTTTGCTTTCAAAATCATTAGCAAAATATTTCCCACTGTAAAGATTTCCCACAAACTTTATGTTCAAATCTCGAGGATACGAATGAACGGCAATAGTGAAAGGAACATGAAACATTATTTGATAGTACTTGTGAATGTGTAATGAGTTAAATTCCTTTCGAGATTTTTCATTTTGCTTTAAAAATATTACAGTAAGCAAAACGTCTAGTTGACATACAAACCTGTCTATGTAGGAATTATTTGTAATATTTTTCGCTTCTTTTTCGACAGACTTGTAGCAATGATAAAAAAACGATTGGTGTGTTTTTAACACACCAATCGTTTTTCTTGATAAATTAATTGACTAATTAGACGTTTCATGTCATATATTCATATGAATGATGCTGTTTTTTTCTCTGAAATATGTTATTTTAAGTCAATCGATCAAGAATGAATTGAAGAAAAGAAGCTTGAAATTTTTGTTTCAGTTCATTTTGATATAGTCATATAACGGAAATTTCTTCAAACCATTGTTTTTGATGGATAAAAAAAGTTTCACCACTTATTTTTCAAGCACGACACAAACTTCTTCATGAAATTAATGACTTCTTTGTCCAATTATTGATTACTTAATTAATGCACCCTTTGAAATATAATTAACGACTGTTTTGCGAAATGATGGGAAGTTGAAAAATTAAAATTTAAGAACGTGAACTAATAAATTCCACCAAACTTTTTGACCTTTCGATGCACTATTCTCTGTATTATTAAAATTTGCTTGCAATTATTCCTCGACAAAAATAAATATTTCATATTTACTTGTCATAATATTAAATATGACATCAAAATGACTGACAAAAGATAAGTGTGTAAAAAGTTTGCTATTTTCGAGCCAATAGATCGGAATTACGGCAATACTTATCTTCTGATATAAGTGTTATCATACTCGTATTTTTTATCACTTACTCATTATCATGCTTTATTACCATATTGTAATATATTCTTATATCACATATTATCATCGTTCAAGTATCATATTTTTTCATGTCTCCAAAAATAATTTGATTGATGGTGATAAAGTATTCCATCATCAAAATTGATTTTTTCAAAATGAGTTCCATTTAGAGCACAGAAGCAAACTGAAGAGCACATTGTTATTATGGAAAAATGTGTCTTCCGATATCTAATTTTAATGGGATTTTCAAGTACTAAGAAAGTTCTTTGTATCACTTTTTTTGATTTTGAAACACATGAATTTGTTTGGTAGAAGGAATTTGAAATTAACGATAGTGACTGACTGCACGGTGAAGAGTACGAGATATCTTAGTGCGAGAGATTACGGGATTTGGCTAGCACAATATAATGAATTAGAAGCTAATGAGACATCCTGAGGTAAGAGTTGGAACTATCTCCACATGGAAAATTAATTGAGTCGAAAGTCTAATAAATGTCCGAAGTATTGTCTTGTGATGTGATAACAGTATAATGAGTTGACTAGTGAAAAAATTGACCGAAACGATTCGGTGGCTCGAATCGGTGACAGGAACGCTCCTTTTAAGTATATTGTATCCAGAAAGTACTTTATTCAAACTACTTTATTGATTTTCCCCAGTTGGTTCATTAATAAAATCAAATTGTTGTTGTAGATATTCAGCTTTAGTTCTGCACTTATTTCATGTCTGATACTTATGTCTATTCCGATGCTAAATTACACCAAAACAGGTATCCACTGAGTAATGGTCTATCGAGTGGTTTCTGTCGAGAACGGAAGACGAAATCCAAAGTTATGGTGAATATTTGTCTCTGTCGGCAAAACAATTACTGGAATTATTCAAATTAGCCAAATGACCTGATGCTAATTCAGAAGGATGGTGATACTGAAAAGGTTTCCATGCAATGCAGCCAAAATTTGACATTGAAACAAGCTATCAAGTCCGATTTTTTCATCAAGTTTTTTGTTTTTATTACAGTCATATTAGTTTTTATTAAACACTTACAATTTATTATGCGATATTATTCTCTGTTCAGTATTTTGAATCCCAACAATAATTGTTTAGATTCAAAGATGAAGTTTTCACATATTCATTGTATTCCTGATCCTCAAGGAATGTTTTAAAATGTTCTGCATTGATTTTTTTTCTTTTTGAAAACGTACATTTAGAAAAATATATTTGAGAAAAAAAAGAATCGGAAAATTTTCATCTGCTATAATCACCTGGCGATTTCACAAAGTTCCCTTCTCCACTTATTTCATCAGCGGATGGGAAATTTTGATGATTATAGTACGGACACTGAGAAACAATTCGGAGAGGGAGAACAATCGCTGAATTCAATACCTTTAGAAAAGAAAGGCAATTTCATGATATATTCGTCGTGCATCTGCTCCTGCATATCTATACTGTAGCAACCGCCTTTTCCTAGATCATCTGACAATACGTTGTTAAACATGCATCACACAGTGTTTTGAAATATGCATTCTAATTGCGCATTGTCCTAATCACGACTTCTTGAATAAATATCCTGCTAATTAATTCCGAGCAAAGACAAAAACGTCAAAAGTGCTGCACTTTAATATCTATGAGCAGTGAAAACATCATTTATGAGGAAAGATAAATGGCGTATATACATACTTTTATTAGCAGATTTCCGGTTGAAATTGAAACCACTACGGTAGCGTGCTTGAAGCTTGAAGTACCGTTCTCACATTTAGTAAAGACAGCAACGAATAGTTTACTAAAAACAAATCCTTATGAGCAACATGAAGACTTTGCAATTATAAAGCCGTACGACTTAATTATAATGTATAATCTTGATAATCACATGAACTAATCAATAAAACACAAAATCTGGAGCTTCCTTACGAGACACGTAGATAATACGAGTCGTTAACTGGAAAGTCGAAATTACGGACTGCCAAAAGCGTGATAAAGACCAGCAAATTTTTGTTTAGAAGATTACTGAAATTAACACCTTACTAATTATAAAGTATGGTTTACTGAGCTTAAAAATATAGTTATAACTATTATTCCATATCAACTCTTCCAGATCGAGAAAGTTGAAAATCTGTTAAGGCGACAATGAACACATTGTATAACAGGATCTGTATCGGCACTCATCATTCACTATTATATCCCACTAATAATTTCTCTTAACTTTCGAATACTTTCTAAATGATATTAATAGGCGTTGAAATCCTCTCCAACGTTTTATTAACGAAAAGGTAAGTCTAACTCATTCAACCTCTCCTGCTCCTTCCTTAATTTGCATACAGTTTACAAAATCTAAGCAAATGCAAATAATGATGAGTACCGTAGAATTTAAAAAGTACACAATAAATTATTTACATTAGCTCAATCATATAATCAAAAGGAGAAAAGTTAAGCGACAAACATTCAAACCAAGGTAGTGGACTAGTGAAATTTGCAGTTATAGTAAAGGCATGTCTTTCATGATAATGATTTAACAGTTCCAGGTAGTGAAAAATGTGATCAATGAGGTAGACAAATTTTAAAAAGCCAAAATTCTCAGATGCAGACTCTCATACCACTTTTCCATAACGCAATATCAAAAAGTGCCAGGAAGAGAGCAATTAGAAACTATTCTCCAACTTTCCTACTTTATCATATTGTACCGCATGTAATTTCTCTCGTCTGTTATACCGGTTGATAAGCCTAGGCCTCCACCAGACACTTCCAAACACAGTACCATGAAGTGAATGTGAAGTACCTTTCGATGTTTCAATCCCCACCATCAAACGATTGGATTATTTCATCCGGTGGTCGATCGTCGTTAACAGTGAGTGATAGCGGTCCACGGCTATCAGTTGTCTGGACTGATATATTGCTATCCAAATCGTTGGGGCGATAAGTTATGTAGCCAAGAATGGTACCCAAGATAGAAACCAATTTGCACACTATTGCTAAAAACACTTCCTTGTTATATGTTAATTTGAACTGCTTGCTGACTATCACGTAGAAGTCAAGGGGAAGTGAAACCACCAGTTAATTCTCTTTTAGATGTACAATAATTCGCTCTAAAATTCTATCCTTCCTTTCACAGCTATGCCTTGAGAAATTTCTCAAGGGATTTTCCATAAAAAAAAAAAAAAAACAATACCAACAGCCATGATAGTCCAAGATAATCGATAGGGATCATAGACCAAACAAGATTGCCGTTTTCCGCATTCCTCTTTCCACTTCAGACAAGCTGTATCAATCATCATACCGAACAATACTCCTCCGGGAATAAATCCTTAAAAAAGAGAACCATAAAACTAAATCAACCTCATTTTGATTAATTAAACCATTAAAGGATGTTAAATTAGAACGATATAAATTCGCTTGGAATTTGATCAAAAAAATAGAGTTATATCAGTCAGTTTTATTGCAATTTGAATCTGGGATAAAAGAACAGACCGAGAAGTCGAAGAAATGTCCAATGGACACCAATGCCTAAGGTACGTTGTTCGAATGGTACTACTCGAAGCATTATCTGCAAAAATTACTCCTAGAGACTAAGCAAATATTATCTCACCTTATCTCTTCTGATAATAGCGCTCTATAACTAAACACCGCAAGCTACCAATAGCAATTCTTGCGCAGATTACGCTCGTTTGTGAATCGTACTTTATTTAAATAAATTAAAAAATGATAGTTTGAACCCTGCATTTAAACTTTCCAGTAAATATTGTTCATATCTTCTTTAAACTTTAAAATACATCTTTTTGAAATTTGCATTGAGTGGTGAAAAATCGTTTCAACATTTCATTGCACTTTCTATCAATAGATTCTATTTCCATGAATGAATTTCAAAAATGGTTCATTTTTAAGCAATTAAACCCAGTAAGATTCTAATCCTCAAAGTGGATCATTACATCAAAGTAAATTTCATGAAAAAAAAAGTACCTGTTGGGACGGGATCCCGGTAGCAAAACTAGCAACCACCGAAAAGAATAACAAAACAAGAAATAGCCACTGAGCATATCCACATTCCTTTTCACAAAAACCCTCGTGCAAATGATTATCTTTATACTGTTCCTCCAAAGCATACGATACCAATTCATCGAAACAAGCACAATTACCCCAATATGTCCCCTTAACTTTACACAAATTAAAACGAATATGGCTGACGAATATATGATATGAATATATACGGTATGTTGCATATACTACAGCATACCACACTATAGTATTGCTTACCGACGAATTTTGTACCCAATCGGTACAGCCAGCGTAACAAGCAGAATAAAAGGTATATCCAGTACCCTTATGACAAACTGGGTTCCATTTCCTCGTACAATAACAATTAGCATTGCAAGTAGCATGCAGATTAGTGATGGTACCTCTTATCCTTCTGCAACATAAAGCTTTCAAATTCTGTCCTATTTTTCGAATTATGTCAGTAAAAGGGAAGTTCGGGTACCAGTAGATTTCATAAGAGCAGTTTTGCATACTTTTTTTGAACAATCTAACAAATGAATGAGATTTCTCAATTACTGATTATTGTAGTTTAGATTGATCCCAATAAAGTCACGTGCTGGACATTGTATTAGAAAACATGGCGTCAATATCAAAGCTATCAGATGGCATACGAATATCAGTTTCAGCATTCCACTGACCTGAAAAGCATAAGTATTGAGTTATCTGTGGACTGCCGTGACGTGACCTCAATTATTATTGACACACATGAAGGATGTGACGGATGATGTGTGGCTATGATTTATCATTTAACTAAACTAGAGAACAAACCTGTAAATTAAACTGACGTATTAAAGCTCCACCTAGCATGACACCAGCTGCAGCAGCAAATATTACTATTGCTGAAAATACAAAAATATCTTTATTATTCTGGAAGGTGATTCGGGATGAAGCTATTAATAATTTATAGAATCCTTCTGATTTCCAGTATTGAATTAATTTTTAAATTAAGCATTATATAATTTGTATGGACAGAAATGTAATTAGTATTATCTACTGACAAGAAAGATAGGAAGCTTTGGTTGGAGTTGTGCTCAGTACGGCTTCCAAAATTTTTGGCATAAATGCAGCAAATCCATTAATAACAATTGATTCGAAAACACCCAACACAATGGTGGTGACAAATGTCGGATTTCGTAAAATATTCTGCAGAATGATTCAATGAAATACTATTGAATGGATTTTTAGCTATTCTCACCTACTACAGTTTGATAAATACTAGGAAATCCCAATATTCCTATAACAATATCTATATAGCCGCTATATCCACTCACTGCACAAATAAATTATTACTCTGTCGTTATCCTTTTTGAATAATATCTTGTACTTAAAACACTGTAACGAACAAATAAAGCGATGAATTTTGATTTCAAAATAATGGCAAGTTATTGAATAATAATTCTGTTACACCGGGACTTACCCAAACAGCCCTTGGTAGATACCTAAGGTTCTCTTTCGCGATGATATCGTTGTCGTTTATTTGTGAGATCGCATGCACCTGCAAAAATAAAAACGAATCTGTTGAATCATACAATTTTGGTTCCATACAAGAACTCAGTTATCTTCTTTTTCAAGAAACTTGAATTCAAGCTAAAAAAATTTAATTAAAATGTGTCGGAAGGTTGCCAAATACGTACAAAATGTTTGAGAGAATATATTACAAACCTGATTGACGTCCTTCAGACGGTGCTTTTTCGCTTCCGGTAATTCTCGAGCAAACATTAAAATCGGAAAAGCTGTAATGAAGGCAAGAATTGCCGAGCCCAGAAAACCGAGCCACCATGCACCAATCCATCGTGGATCTGATGAATCTTTTATCGTCACCCTAGATTTGAAAACAAAATAGAATTACTAATAAAGTAGTGAGGAATGATAAAAATACGATAAGATGATTGTCAGATTAAATAGATCAGAAACCAATTTATTAGTATAACAGGAAGAAGGAATTCTATAATGCAACCAATAAATTAAATAGATTTAAACTAATGAAAAAATGTAAGAGTTGGGAAGTAAGAAAGGGGAAATCTCCTTTGCCAGGTGATATCCAGCATTCTCAGCATTCGCGGAAAAGACAAGGCTAAATCAAAAGTGTTTGATGCAAGCAACAACTATTAAAATTTCACCAAGTTTAGAAAAGTCGCTTTTTGCAAAGAAAGAATCTATATTTCCGAACTCACTTCGACATATCGATACGATCAAAATCCGTGTAAATTGTTAACATAAAGCCACCAACGAAAAGTCCAATAACTGGTCCAATAGATGTTACTACCGAATGGATCGCTGAAATTTAAACATTACGGTACTCTAAATTCCAATAATTTCAAGTTGTTTTTGAAGTACTCTGAACATTGTACCACTGCTCCTTACCCAAATAAACAGGTGATGCTTTTTGTGAAACATTTTCATCCAAATATGCAGTGCCAATAGAAAATAGTGGTGTTGCTCCGATACCGTGCAGAGTTTGCCCCAACAAAAACATCAGAAAGTACGGATTCAAGTATAAGGATGAGCTGGAAAGATGCTTCGAACAATCTGATACTAATTTGTCTCTGCAACGTCTCAGAATTATAAAATAAAACTTCAGAATTCAGTGAAAATTCAACCTAGGATGAGATCACTGACCATACTAAGCCAAGTAAGCTCATCAGACTCATTATCATTAATGTGAGCTTATCGGACTACATTCCGCTGTTATTTGTTTGTCGCTGATGATAATATGAAATTAATACATATGAAATTTTATCACACTAGAGGAGAATTGCTGACTTTACGACATTAGGACTTTATGGCAGATATGTTTCATCAGTAAACCTCATTGCATTGTAAACTTAAATATAAATTATAAAAGGGAAAAAAGCAATACATATTGCAAATTAAAACCTGTATGTACATTGGTCATGTTCACTTTCGTTAAGTTGCGTTTCATGATAATGATAAGGTGATATCATGTAATGGGGGAGTACACAAATAAACGAACCGAGTGCCATCAGAAATGAACCAATACCTATCCAACGACCTTTGTGACCTGTCATGATGTAAAAGATTTATTGACCTGCTATTCTGATCCAAATCATTGAGAGTTCAAAAAATCCTCTCAAATCAAGCACCAACGATCAATCTGTCCTAATTAATGCGAATTGATTTCATAAAGGTATATGGCATTATTTATTATTCACTTAATGTATTTCATCTTGAGCAAGCAAGCTCGATTGATTTATTGTCACAAGAAAACGTACCCGTATTACCCCAGTGACATACTGGAAATACCGCAATAAGAATTGCGAAATCGTACCAACTTGATATGATTCCGGTTTGTGTACTACAAAATAAAGTGTATTTTGATTAGGAAATGAAACCAAGAACTGTTGCGTAGATAGATTTCAAAAGCCTACGTCAGTAAATGTATTTTATGAATCATGCATATGAGATCGGTTGAATATGAGGTGATTAACTAAATATTCAATACACCTCGTCATATGAAATCGTTTTTCAAGCGTTGATAAACCCACAGGAAATATACTATTGACGACGAAACTTTGCACAAAGGCGCAGATGCCAAGCATAACTAACAGCCACTTGGCATTGTGGAACTTTTGTAGCCATCTCGGTGTACATCTGCAACACAAGAATCAAACTATCTGTCTTCACAAAATAGATGGCAAGATAAAGCGATTAGTGATAAGTTCTAATTAACAAGAAGTGAATAGAGCTTCTGGGAAGAGGATTCACCGACTGCAGCCACATAAGAATTGCTCATCATCACTATCATTGATAACATCATCGGTTTCATTGGGTTTCGGAGACAAATGTCGTAATTGATCGTCCTGCGCTTCAAGTGATGAGGATGCGCGATTCTCCATCGTTTTGTATACTTCTTTTCTGCGTTCAGATTAGTGCCTTTTAAAATAGATTTTTGAATTTCGAAATCTGGTTTCAAATTCTGGCGAAAAACTCATAAGCTGACCAAATCTGTTTTTCTATGTTTTTGGATGTTTCACCTCATAAAACAGGAAGGATCGAAGGATCAAATCATAACTGCTGCGATGATTGCTTGCTTTGTTGCTCATGAAATTATGATAAAAATTGGGAAACCAGATCGACAGAAGGGCTTGCATTTGCTCGATGAATAGTAAGTATCGGAAGAGAAAAGATTAACCAGAGTTCTTATGTACTTACTTCGGTCCCGTTTCCCAGTATTTCCGCTAAACAGCTGTCTGCAAGCAATCTGAATGACTTTTTTAGTAAACTATAAGAATGAAACTGTCAGTAGGAAGCTTCTCGAACAATCGTGTCAGCATATCTCTATGAGTAATTGTCAAATAAACAATAAATCTAAACAATTTTTTATATAAGTGAATCCTAAAGCGACATCAAATATATTTAATGAACGTGCATATCAAAAATTACGTAGTGATTTCTACATCACATAAGATGTTTCTTCTATTTATTCACAAGTTTGAAATCTCATTTGATATCACAGACTGTATCTTATCTTGACAGTGCCTTATTGCGAATGACACAATATTGGCAACTTTCAATTGAATGTTTACGTAAATCAGCTTAACAGTGAGAGCAACAAAGAAAGTTGCAAAGTGATGATAAACAAAAGGAGTAATTATCACTGTACGGAAAATAGTTCCACATTGCTTACATCGTAAGGATTGAAATAAACATAGCAATAAATTGTTCTTACCAAACTAAATACACAATAAGTGTTTCCACTATTTTAGATTCAAATTTGATCTTTCATCATGGAAATAAACCAAAAAAGCTAAAAACAATGTTCTTGCTAAGGACATTTTTGAAAGGAAAAAATTAATTAAGATTAAACCTTCTCACAGATCTATCCTTCAATTTAATAAGTGATGTCAAATAACGACAAAAATTGAGAAAACTGATTTGCATACCAAATGAAAAAAAGCACTCGTGATTTTAATTACCGGAGAGAAGCGGGTAACTAACTGGTACTACTGCATCATTTCCTGTCCAAAATGACAGTGGAAAAAAGTGAATGGTAAATAAACTGAAAAATCGATAAATAACTGTATGTTCCAGAAGTTTGCGATACAGTTATGAAAACTGGGATGACATTTAATTGCCGATAAAGATGAAAATGAGGAAAAAAGCACACGGATGAGAAAATTTGTTATAGAGAAAATGGAAGATGAAGAAGGGTGAAGTGAAAGAAGAAAAAGACGTCCTCGTGTTGTAAAAGTTTCAACAAAAACTGCATGGTTTGGAGAAAAGTGGTGTGACAAAGACAGTGACAGCAAAGTGTGGGACAAGGATTTGTGGAGCAGCGAGCGCTACTGAACCTTTCATGGGTGAGTTCGCGTAAGGAGAAAATGTGTTTAAATAACATTTTGGAGTGATAGTACTACTGACCAAATATGAATTGTTCGTTACTCACTGAAATTATTAGTCCTTATCAGTAGTTATGCTGCCTCATCCCTTGGCCTCTTTTGTATCATGCTAGCTTATCCTAGAATTCAATTCATACTTATGATTAGCGGGGAGATTGAAAGACCCGAAGGAGCAAAGATGCGATCGAATGCTCTTAAAAGCGTGAAAATAAACACGGTGACGTCAGTTTTTTATAACTTTCAGATTCCTGCCGTACTAAGATCAGAGATGTTAGAGCTAAACTGATTATTTATCCAGATTTATCAAATACAATTAGGCCAGTTAAAGTGATCTATTGAACAATGAACGTTAAGCCAAAGACATAAGAACAAAATTTTCTTCAAACTGATTATGGATATCCCGAAAAGTGAACAGAGATAAAACTAGAAAAAATTTAAATGATTCCGATTACCGGGTTTATAAATTTTCAACTTTTTCTACATGTGAAGGAAAGACATGGGAGTTCTTCACAAGTTGTATTATTGAGCATATTAACTTTCTTACTTACCTGATCATTTTATTTTTCGTCCACAGAGCCATTTATTTATTTATCTTATTTGGTTTTTTATTTTTTATTTTTTATACTGTTCGCAATATCTGCAATTTAATATTGCTGCCTGACTACCTGAAAAAGATCATTGGCAATTAACCTTTCTCCCTTTAGCAACAACCTAATCAATAATTGAATTCACACATTTACATATATCTCGTGTTAAGAAAAATTTGTTTTGGATCTGATCAAAGTTTTTTCAAGACTACATTTTGCAGATTATCACAGGTATTATCACTATCAAATGGCAATATAACTTTTGTAAAGTTCTCTTTTAAACCGTGCAATGATAAATATTGAAAGAAATGAAGAATCATTCACTTATACGAAAACAGAATGATAGTAATTTTTCAACAAAATATCACAGCAGAACCGGCACTTTTTGAAAATTTCGTCTTTCACTCAATAGGAAACACATTATCTTTCATATACAGGGATTTTCCACAATAACTTTACAGATATTTATAAAAAGAAAGTGCAAAATTGATTTAATAAAAATTGTCATATACAAAATCGTTACTTGCTATGTCGAATTTTCATTCTACTTAAAAGGTAATGATTAATTATATTTCTTTGTGGGTTAATCTGACAAGAATGCTAATCATTATCTGAACAACAGTGGATGATAAAAAGAAGTAATGATCGTTTATCTCCCTCTCTTCAATCACTTGATTTATCTTGGATTTTAAAATAGAATAAACTGTTTCAATTTAGCCTGACTATGGACAATTGAATGAGGTCTCATTCTTGGGAAAGCCGATAAATAACCTCAGGAAGTTGTAAAGTAATCG